AACATAAGAAAAGAGTTGAACTCCCACAGAATTGGTTTGGTACACCAACATGGCCGCCGTTTCATTGTTTTGGAACACCAATATGGCTGCCATGACGTCATGTGCATACGCTCTATAGCAGTTATAGTTCGGGAAACGTGACTTCTCCCTTTTTATTGCAAAGAACGCTTCTGTGACTGTGTATCCTTTGGTTCGGTTCAAGAAATGTAGTCTTCTTTTATAAATTGCAAATTATTGTGTTTGCTAATTCATCGTATTATTGAATTTAACTGAAATGAACGAAAAACAAAACGCCACAGTAAAATTCAAAGCTGTCTTGACAAACGACAATTGTAAGTTAGTTTTGGACCTTGAACGAACTGAAAATGGACATATGAAACATACATACCTCTAAGATTATTATTATACCTTATCAAGTTCTGTCCGTTCATATTCTGCGAGGGGAAAAGCCCAAGCAGACCTGTGTTGTGACTATCGCGTCAGAGCTCTACATTGCACTTCTCACTATCAAAGATTGTTTCACTTGTTCTCGATTATTTTAATATCAAAGGAGGAAGACTGGCTCTGATTGCTCCCGTGAGTGAAGTAGATTACAACAACAGCACCAACATCGAAAAAAGGACCAATTTTGTGGGGAATACGTCCTCGTTGTCTCCACTCTACAGTGCGATGTATAAGGTTTGGGAGGGCATGGCAAAAGACAACATCATCACAAAGGTAATATGAAGTATTTACAACACAACCTTATAAATCACATCCAGTTTGAATGTTCCTCTTTTAAATTATCCAACTTTTGAAAGTAGAATGATAACGACCGCTGCAGAACACACTCGATAGGAAATTCGTAGTATATTTTGAGCAGGGCATAAGGGAAATACAGAATCGGATTTTCTTTTTGTACATATAGGAAGTGGAAGGGGAGAGAAAGGTATGATAATTTGCAATTATTAATTAATGAATATAAGTAATAGTAATTGGACCGAGTGGAGTACATTTCAGGGAGTAATCGCGCGAATAATTTCAAAATCGGACGAGCGCGAAGCGCGAGGCCGATTTGAAGTTACGAACACGATACTCCCAGCATTGTACGACACGAGGTCCAATTACTAATTAATCGTATCTATAACAAATTTCGGAATTAAAAATATCTTTTGAGAACTTCTTTTGAGCGAAAACGTCTGTAGCGCGTTTCACAAGTTTTGAAAACTGTAGGAAACATTGGAAAGAAAGACAATAAAACGCGCGTAATTGACGTGCGAATCACGTGGCCAATTACAAAAAATTCAAATTGGATACCTGTAATTGGACACCCACGTGATCACGCGCCGATTACGGGGCAAATAGGCGCGCGGAGAACCAATTACGATCGTTATAGATACGATTAACTTCTTAATCAAAACTATCACAAAATTTTCGAACGTGATTGGCTATCAGCAGCCCGATTTGAGCATTAATTGGACACTGTACGCGTCATACTTGTAATTAGACATTGTAATAGGACAGTGTACGTGTCATGCCTGTTTAACTGGACAGTACGCGTCATTTTTGCGCGCGCTGTTGCGGTGCACTTTGTTGAGTAAACTGCTGTGTTTTTCAGCATTGATAACGACGTTTAATCGTTC